TCCACCAGCCTCCCTTCCTCATCAGCATCCTCCTTCCCTCCTCCTCTCCTACTTTTCTCCGCCCTTAGCCCCCGCCCCTAAGACTCCGCCCCTTAGCCCCCGCCCCCAGCTGCCAGTCCCCAGCAGCTCAGTCCTGCAGTGAGTCTTGGGAGCCCATAGCTAAGCACCAGGAGCTGAGCACTGCCCGCTGTGCCTACCTGCAAGTCTCCGACATGGCTCAGGAGAAAATGGAGCTGGACTTTGAGCCTAGTACATCTCATGGGGGCACCCTGAGGAGATCCAACAGTGCTCCCCTGATCCATGGGCTCAGGTGAGCAGAACTGGGGAGGATGGTATATGGGGTTAAGAAGCTTCTTGACCCCATGCAAGCAATCTTCCTTCCCTAAAATGCAAGTTTGAGCTCATTTGGGCTGTCCAAATAGAGGGGTTGGGGACTTGTTTGCTTTACAGTGACTGGAGTCCCAAGGTGGAGTGAAAGTTTGACCTCAAACTCTGGGCCTTTTGGGGAAAAACAGCCACCCCCCACCTGGGGGTTGCCTCACTCTAAAAGAAATCACAGAAAGCTTCTGAAAGGTTGCTAGTCCTGGCTAATTTACACCAGGGAAAGTCAGACTGAACCCCTGGACCTAAGCTTGCAACTTGACACCTGTCTCTTAAGAGCTGCTATTTCTAAGCTTGGTTTAGGAACCCTGGCATTAACAGAGGTTTGCTTTAATAAATCACAATTTATCTAATAACTTCTAATTAAATGGTGTATTCATGTCATATTAAGTGATTTGGATTTGTTGAAATCTTTTTCAATTCTAAAACTGCCTGAAATGCATTTCAGTGAATTAAAAAAAAAAAGGTTTCTAGTAACTTACATTAGTGAGAATAGAGGTTTGAGAAAATTATGGAAAGAGTCGATCGTTTAATTTTAGCGGCAGGGTCTTGTGTGATTTTTTTTTTTTTAATAAGACACTAGAGGGTCTATTTTTAAAGTAGAATCTTGTGATAGTGAAGGTTGGGTTGGCTCACCTCCTGAGCCTATTGCATTTCACTTTTATAAGTAGACAATTCATCTTAGGTAGAGAGCCAATTTATGAGATCCTTTCAAAAAATGGCATTGGTCCAAAAAATGGAATGGGAATACAATTAGCCAAAAACATTAATCAAGCACAGTGAGGGCAAAGAAAGGGGTAATCCTTGTCTATTGAACTGATTATAACATCTGTATTTTGAGGGGGGGAAAGAGGTTTACTTTTTTCTTTTATTAAATATAATTTTGAAACTGAAGGGATGATGGAGTGACTTTTTGTCTTATTTTATACTTTTAAGAATAAACTGTTTTTTGGGCTGGGGTTGTGGCTCAGTGGTAAAGCACTTGCCTGTGTGAAGCACTGGGTTCGATTCTCAGCACCACATATAAATTAATGAAATAAAGGTCCATCAACAACTAAAAAAATTTTAAAAAAGAATAAGCTGTTTTCTCTTTTGGTTGTCTTTTAAATTCTGGTGATCAAGCAATTGCTAGATACTAGGGGGATCCTACTGACCTGCTTTTAGACATATGTAGGAAAAAACACACTGTTTTTTGAATAATGATTTAAGTACTTGGAAGGTAGCATGTGATGTGATAAAAGAAAAGGTAAGGAGACCAGGCCTGGTCCCAGTTTTTACTAACTAGCCACACTCACAAATGAGTCATTTAACCTTTTTGAGTGTTTTTTTCACTTAAAATTAGGAGAGTAGAAATAGGCAATCTCAGTGGTCTTTTGAAGCTCATTCCAGTTCTGAAAATCCTTCTTGAACTCATTGTGGGCACAGCACTCTGCTAGGAACTGCAGAGATATTATATTAAAATAAAAAAAAGCATCTCTACACCAAGAAGTTTAAGACACAAGACACTTTTCTTTTGCAGCACTGGGGAACACATTTTTTTTTTTTGGTGGTGCTAGGGATTGAACCTGGGGCCTCACACATTAGGCAAGCACTCTACTACTGACTACATCCCCAGCTCTTTTTAATTTATTTTAGACAGATCTCACTATGTTGCCCCGGCTGGCCTTGAGCTGGCCTTGGGATCCTCCTGTCTCAGCCTGGTCACAGGGATTACAGGTGTGCACTACCCTGACTGGCTAACACTTTAATGAAAGGTAAAGTAGGGGCTGGGAGTCATGGCTCAGTGATAGAGCATCTGCTTAGTGTGCATGCAGGGCTGGGGATGTAGCCCAGTGGTAGTGTGCTTGTCTAACATGCCCAAGGTCCAGGGTTGATCCCCGGCATTGCAAAAAGGAAAAAAAAAAAGTTTCATTGAGCATGGTGGTGTATGAGCCCAGCAGTTCAAGACCAGCCTGGAGAAACGACCCTCTTTCAAAAGGAGAAGACGGAAAGAGATAAAGTAACGTGGGTGTCAAGAAGTATGTCATCTCCTAGTGTGTTCTTGGGTTCACAGGAGGTAATGATTGCATTAGGTTTGTGGAATGATGTGAGGCTTGTGCCCTGCCTGTATGAGGGCATGGTGTTTGAGGTGGGCATGGAAGGAGAGGAAGGATTCTGTCAGATAGTGGTAGGAAGGAGAGCATGTGAGGCAGAAGAGGCCTCCTGAACAAAAAAATAGTGCAGGTACATTTATTTGAACATTGATTCTGAGGTAGGACACTTGCTTTGGGTGGTCCTGGGATATGTGCTGATATGGCTTCTCTTGTAGAACAGGGCTCAATGGCACATGCAGAAAATGGTGGTATTCGTGGTTCTCTGGGATATACAGATGCGCTGCTTCCATCCGAGGGGGGACCTGTTTGGGGGTGTAGCTCTGACCAGAAGCAGCTGGAATGAACCAGTCTGTAGCTCCGCCCCACATTGCTCAGAGCTGCCCCCCAACCACTGAGGAGATCAGTATCTTGGCAAACCTGTAATCCCCAGCACACCAGTCAGGCAGCTCTGCCAGGAGGACGGAGGGTCCTCTGGAAGAAAGGAGGAACCATTGAATATTTCACTGTGAACTACGGAATTGATGCTAACATATTTGGAAGATCTTTCTCTAGAAGATATTAATTGTTTTATTTTTACTTTTCAGTGACCTTTCACAGGTTTTTCAGCCTTACACATTTAGAACTCGGAGGAATAGCACAACAATTATGAGCCGTCACAGTTTGGTAAGTATCAAAGTAAGTATCTGAAGTGATTTGGATTGGAGACAATACTTCCAAATATAGTTCTTCCTGGAAATTATGTGCTGTGCACAATTGGTTTTAGAGATTTATTTTAACTGTCTTGTTTACTACTTTTGCTCTGGCCATTCAGCTTTGGTACAATTGCTGTGGACTTTTGTATTTTAAAAATTTATTTATTGTTATTTATCACTACTTGCATCACAGTTGTGAGATAAGTCCGGATTAACTTCTAATTATAGCTGAGAATAGTGGTCTTTATTTGTCCTAGGATGTAAAAATCACTTACATAAAGTGTGTTTCTGACACTTATCTGTCAGATGATGCTGATTGTGATTGTTCTCTATGGCCAGAGCTGCTGTGTTCGAGATCACCTTATTAGATGGTTGGTCCAGTAGAAATTATAAGGTTTTTATATGGTAGCACTTCACATATAGAACTCACTCTTCCATCAGCTTCAGTGCTCTGGAAGACATCTGAGATGTAAGCACACAGACATCTAAATGGCTGAACTAGATTTCCAGTCTGTGCACAAAGGTTCATCGGTTTATTTATAGGAGAGCCTCTCTGACCTCTGAATCATTTAAAATTTATGCACAATTATAATAAGCTTCCAACCCAGTAGCATATGAGAAGCAGCAAATCAGAAGAGTTACATTTGTGATAAGGTATACTAATAGCTGCTAGTGAGGGAGGAAAAGGAAAAACTGAAAAACAGAAATTATTAAAAAAAAAAAGTTTGTGACTTGGCAGAAGGACTAAGAGGCGCCTGTTGATACTCCCTGAGGGTTTCACCTGTATAAAGCAGTATAGTGACGTTCTTAAGGATCCCTGGGTCATTAGACTTTTCTTAAATTCCAGTAATACCTATGTTTGTATGGTATTTTACACTTTGCAAGGTACTTTCAGGCATTTAATTCTTACAACAACCCCTCTGAAGTAGGCAGAGCAAAAGATGCTTTTGCCAATGAAAAGCAGCAACAGTTAAGACTCAAATCACACAATAGTAAGTGGCAGAGCTGGGATTAGAGTAGAAATCTTTCGGTGTCATTCCATTTGGTGTACTCTGAGAAAGGGGGAAATTTCAGCTGGAATGGCTCAAAATACTTAAAGGGGAGATGTTAGTTATCTAGAGATTTGATTCGCTTCACCTCCTTCCCTGAGGATATTAGGAAATTTAAGTATTTTTACTGGCTACTTGAGAAATATTTTTACATGTTATACAGCTGTGCACCTGATAAGAGTAGCACAGAAAAGAAGGGGAAAATGAATTTGCCTCTGTACACTTCACTTGCCTCTTTTGTTTTGTTTTTCTGGTGCTGGGGATTGAACCCAAGGCCTTGTGCATGGGAGGCAAGCACTCTACCCACTGAGCTGTATCCCCAGCCCTGCTTGCCTCTTTTGTAAGATGTGCAGATTCTTAACAATTCCGGTCTAGGCTCATCTCTCACACTGACAAATACCCTTTGCTCTGGCTGTCCCCAAATACCTTATTTTCTGAAGGAATTCTGGTGATTCACTGCTTTTGCTTGATCATTTTGCTACTGTACCCTACCCCTCCTTTCTAGTTTCTGGTCCTTCAGAACCCACTTTAATTCTTATATCTCCTGTGCACAGGCATCCTCAACTATCATGATATCAATTACACTGTATGCATTATATCACAGTATACTCTGTACATTTTTTTAAGAGAGAGAGAGAATTTTTAATATTTATTTTTCAGTTTTTGGTGGACACAACATCTTTATTTTTATGTGGTGCTGAGGATCGAACCCAGTGCTCCGTGCATGCCAGGCAAGCGTGTTACTGCTTGAGCCACATCCCCAGCCCTCTGTACATTTTTTTTCCAGCTCTAACTCCAGATAGGATCCAAAGAGGAGTTTTGCAATCTCTTGTCTGCGTCATATGGAGGTTTCCTTTACCCTTCTGTGTTAGCCTCTTAAAGCACTCCATCAACCTTGAAAGGGCGATGCTGTGTAAAACTTAATGTACTTCTGTGTGTCCCATAGTAACCTGCAAAGAGTGAAATGTTGGCGAATGACATGGAAAGAAACGGACGGTGAAAGAGGTGGGGAAAAGCAGAGTCTTAATGATTTTAACTGACTGGGTATAAGGGCAGGAAGGAGGACTCCCAAGTGACTGAAATTGTTTCTTCGTGACCCTGGGAATGGTAATGAGGAGTAGAGAAATTGAAAGAATTGGAAGTTTGGGGGGGAAGCGGATGAATTTCTTTGGGGACATGTGGGGTTTGAGGTGCCACTGGCTCCATGCTGTTCTCCAAAGCCATATTCTAAATTTGTTTGATTTTAGACTGCTGGTGTACTGTCTCACCACTTTCTCTTCTAACTGATGACCCTTCTTACTTTACAGAGAAGACAGTCACATATCTTGTATAAATGTCAACTTTTCTTCTCCTTAAAATGCCTTTATCATCATGTAGGATGCTTTTCCCTGATGGTTCTTACATTTTCTGACTCTCCTGTCACTTCACTATTATCTCCTCTGTCTTGTGCCATCAGTCTTTTCCTCCCACTTTCTTCTCCCAACTCACATCTAATATGGGGAAAACAAAGTGTTTTCTTTTTGTAGGTCTCTCCTTTCTTTCCCAGGGCTCCTTTTCAAAGCATAATTGACATTCAGCTGCCTGCAGTTCCTTGTCTCCTGATTTATTCTCAATTTGTAATCTTAATACTCCTACCACAACTCTGTTAAAAAACTGTCCTTGAAAATGTCACCAATGCCCACTTAAATTGCCGGTGTCCAGCGGTTCATTCCTTATCCCGCCTTAGCTCTTTGCTTTCCTTTGCATCATTAGCCAGCACCTCCTTAAATCTCCTGGCTTTTCTTTTTCCAGCTGATATATTACTCTTGTTTCTGATTCTGGACACAGCTTTGCTGTTCTCTTTCTGGTCCACTGTTCTAGTTCTGTCTAAAATTAACAAGTTATAATGTAGATGTAGCATCTGCATTTCTGACTGGCCACAGTCGGGTTGTCAGCTTTCTTTGGTTCTCTGACTGACATGTGTGTGCTCTTCCACGTTTGCCTGTTATAGTCTTTCTGCCTTATCTGCTTGCCTAGTAGCTTCGCATTGTTCAGATGACCTTATTAAGTGCTCATCAGTAAATACTTATTACTTTCATAACAGGAAAAAAAGAACTTTTAAAAAGGATTTCACTGGTGAAGTTTTTCTCTTTTCAAAACCTAGGAGAGAAAAAAGAAAGGTATGGTAATGAAGGGATATCATTTGAGGTAAAAATCATATTTCAGTGGATAATACTTGAAAATTTTACTTGAATTAGCTTTTTCCTAAAATAAACATTTTATACCAATCACTACATTCCTATTCAAAAAAAGTTTTAATGGTATAGGACCTCTTAAACAGGATACTTGTTTTATTTGGTTTTGTAGTGTTAAAGATTCACTTGCATTTCTTAGGGAATGAATTACAGTTGTTTACCTTATGGCTATTAAAACTAAGATCTGTTGATATGAATTGTATCTGATATTTTGTGGCCAGATTGCGATTATTTTGAAGGAACATAATTTGGCCCCCAAATCATTTTAGCTTTGTGTTATTAAAAGGGGGAGGATCTAAGGGAAATCAACAGTTATTTTAAAGGTATACCTTGCATTTCCACAATGCTTTTTCTTTGGTAAGATTTGTGGTGGTAGCATTATTGATTAAATCCCAGCGTTGATTTAGGTCATAGAAGCAAAATCTTAGTGTAGTCTTTTTGAGAACATTAATCATAGACAAACTATTACACTGTGCTTGTTAGCCTGTTTTTCTCTGTGTGTACATTGCTAATAAAAAATAACATTGTTTTTTTCCATTTTCATATGTTCCTTATTTTAGATAAGGGGGGTAATGGATATTTCCATGGTCAAGAGTGTTTTTCCCCTGCATTTATACAGCTCTACACTCATTTGGGGAAAGTGCTAAAGTCAGTGCCTGTCTAGCAACAGATGGTGCTTTGAGGTTGGACACCTGGTGTACTTTCTAAAGACTGAATGTACTGCCTCTAGTGCATTAATGTTCAGGATTTATTAGAGCTGAATTTCTAAGAAGAATATGAAAAATTATCTAGAAAGAGGTTGGTACACCAATAATGACAGCAGACTGCTGCTTTGTGATTCAGAAAATAGTAAATGTTTACTTTTTCTTTCCAGTTGCTGTCATCTTCACCTAATCGTATTCCTAGTAGCAGACTGCTTCAAATCAAAAGGGTAAATTTTACTTACTAGCTCAGATCTGAAGTTTTTTGGATTTTACATTTTGATTTTGATTTTGATTTTCAAGACTTAAATATTAGCCGGGCGCGGTGGCACACGTCTGTAATCCCAGCGGCTCGGGAGGCTGAGGCAGGAGGATCGCACGTTCAAAGTCAGCCTCAGCAACTTGGCGAGGCCCTAAGCAACTTAGCGAGACCTTGTCTCAAAAAGGGCTGGGGATGTGGCTCAGTGGTTAAGCACCTCTGGGTTTAATCCCCAGCACCCCCAAAAAATAAAAATAAAAAAGAGACTTAAATCTTAAAAATGGGCCAGGATGCAATTCTGGGTAGTTGGAGACAGATTAAAAATTTTCCAAGTTTGCAGATAAAATAGACATGTGGCATGGTTGACAGGCTTAGAACGTTAGTTCTGCTCCCTTGTGATTCTGTCAAATGAGGTTGAGAAGTCTTTTGATTTTATTTGAAATAGAGAACAGTGTGGATGAAAATTCTATTTTTTTTTTTTTTTTTACATTTGTCCGTGTAGGAAGAAGGCCTGGATATGATGAATAGAGAAACTGCACATGAGAGGTTAGTGCTTTGAAAGAGCAGGGCCTACTCTGATATGTCTTGTTTGTAAACACTAATGGTTTTTCTTTGTTTGTTTTAGGGAAGTGCAAACTGCAATGCAGATAAGCCAATCATGGGATGAGAGCTTGAGTCTGGTAAAGTTTTCCCATGTTTGCTTGTTTTTTATTTTTTAAAAATCTTGCTGGGTGTGGTGGTGCATGCCCTGGAGGCTAAGACAGGAAGATAGCAGGTTCAAAGCTAGCCTCAGCAACTTAGCAAGGCTGGAAGCAACCTAGCAAGACCCTGTCTTAAAAATAAAAAGGGATGGCGATGTGGCTCGGTGGTTAAATGCCCTTGGGTTCAATCCCTGATACCCTCTCCCCCCACACACAAAAAAAACTTTATGTGTTGTTCACTGGCTTTGTTAATTTTTTCATATGCCTCTGTCCTTTCTACTTCTAAATTGATAAATTGATTCTTGTTTTTAATCTGTTCTCCCAGCAGAGTAATATTGGAGGCCCTACATTTCTACTCTTAAAATGTAAATGTGTTATAGTAGTAAATGAGAGCTGTGGTATCCTGAATTGTTATGAGGAGATAATACTTTATGTTTACAGAGTGATAGTGATTTTGACAAGTCGGAGAAATTATATTCTCCTAAGAGGATTGACTTTACTCCAGTTTCTCCAGCACCTTCACCCACCCGAGGATTTGGAAAGGTAGGGTCATTGACAAGATATGAGCTATCTTTTACACAGTGTTTACTCTCTAAAACATATGTATACAAATCACCTCACTTTTAAAGTATCTAATAACTTCAGGGGAAAATCAATGAAAACCTATGATAACAATTTCAAAAAAATGTATATATATGTATATTTCACACATAGAAAGCTAAGCAATTTTGAGGACATTATTTCTGTCATTTTCAAAAGAACTTTCTGAAGATTGGAACACTAGAAATATTTTAATATTAAATATATTTTTCTAGCAATGCTTTTCACCATCCCTACAAATGTTTGTGAGTAGCAGTGGGTTGCCACCAAGTCCTGTTCCTAATCCAAGACGGTTTTCCAGGTAAGTGAACTTTCTCCCCAATATTTTATTGTGGAACTTTTCTAGCATGTAGCAAAACTGAAAGAATTTCACAAAGAATACCCATAAGTGCATCACTATTATTCTGTCACTAACAGTTTACCAGATTCCAATTTTTGATACTCAGTGCTGATTTATATTTAGAGGGGTCACACACACACACACACAGTTCATCCTTCTTATTTTTTTTCCTTTATAAACTTTTCTGTATTTTTTATTGATACATTATAGTTATACCTAATGATGGGATTTATTGTTATACATTCACACATGTACACAATATAACACTGTAATTTGGCCAGTATCACTCCCTAGCTTTTTTTTGTGGGGAGCGGGTACTGAGGATTGAACCCAGGGCTACTTAACCACTGAGCCAATCCCCAGCCCTGTTTTGTTTTTTATTTAAAGACAGGGTTTCACTGAGTTGCTTAGTGCCTTGCCATTCCTGAGGCTGGCTTTCAACTCATAATCCTCCTGCCTCAACCTCCCAAGCCACTGGGATTACAGACATGCACCACTGCGCCCAGCTTAATTTATCCTTTTTTTGGGGGGGAAAAAAAATTAAGATTATAGACCAGTAATGGCACATGCCTATAATCCCAGGTACTCAGGAAGGTAATGAGGCAGGAATGTAATAATGGTCCACCTGTGCTTTTTTTAATTTTTTTTTTTAGTTGTCAATGAACCTTTATTATTTTATTTATTTTTATATGGTGCTGAGAATTGAACCCAGGGCCTCACACATGCTAGGCAAGGGTTCTACCTACCACTGAGCCACAACCCGAGCCCCCACCTTATGCTTTGAATATGGTCCTCGCTGCTCTGTCACTGAGGCTTATTTTAAAATGGACATGTTTTTCTTTCTTTTCTTTCTTTCTTTCTTTCTTTTTTTTTTTTTTTTTTTTT